GACCTTCAGGACCTACAGCATGCTGACCATCACGGAGAGCGAGTGGCTCAGCCAGAGCGTGTTCACCTGTGAGGTGGAACACAAAGAGGGGATCTTCCAGAAGAACGTGTCCTCAGTGTGCGGCACCCGTGAGTGCAGCCCCCGGGCTGGGTGGGGACCCTCACACAGGTCTGCATACACCGCTCCCGACGTGCCAGCAGCGTCCTGAGCCTTGGCTTCTCAGAGCGGCCCAGGGCAGGGAGGGGCTGTGTGCAGGGCAGCTGGGGGCCCACTGTCCCCCTGCAGCGGGACCCTGGGCTCACGAGGGACGTAGCCAACTCGGCGCCTGCTCTTTGGGCTGCACTGTTCCTCCGCCTGATTTCACTCCAACCAACTCTCTTCCCACCTCCAGCCATGTCCCCCGACATCAGGATCTTCACCATCCCCCCGTCGTTCGCTGGCATCTTCCTCACCAAGTCAGCCAAGCTTTCCTGCCTGGTCACAGACCTGACCACCTATGAGAGCCTGAGCATCTCCTGGACCCGCCAGAATGGCGAGGCCCTGCAGACCCACACCAACGTCTCCGAGAGCCACGCCAATGGCACATTCAGCGCCATGGGTGAGGCCTCTGTCTGCGTAGAGGAATGGGAGTCTGGAGAAAGGTTCACGTGCACTGTGACCCACACAGACCTGCCCTCGCCACTGAAGCGCGACATCTCCAGGCCCACAGGTGAGCCTGCACTGGCCTCCTTCCCTCTGCCCCGGGCTCTCCCATGGTTTCTGGGGTCTGAGGACAACGAGGCGGGACCAGGAGAGCCCCTGCGCTCCCCGCCGTCCAGGACGGATCCCTCTCGCCCACGACCCAATCTCACCACCGTGTCTCCCCCCACAGAGATCGCCAAGCACATGCCGTCCGTGTACGTGCTGCCACCAACGCGGGAACAGCTGAGCCTGCGGGAGTCCGCCTCCGTCACCTGCCTGGTGAAGGGCTTCTCACCCGCGGACGTGTTCGTGCAGTGGCTGCAGAAGGGGCAGCCCATGTCCTCCGACAAGTACGTGACCAGTGCCCCGGCTCCCGAGCCCCAGGCCCCCGGCCTCTACTTCGTGTACAGCATCCTGACGGTGAGCGAAGAGGACTGGAACAGCGGGGAGACCTACACCTGCGTCGTGGGCCACGAGGCCCTGCCCCACATGGTGACCGAGAGGACCGTGGACAAGTCCACCGGTAAACCCACCCTGTACAACGTGTCACTGGTCATGTCCGACACGGCCAGCACCTGCTACTGACCACCCGGCCACCCGCTCAGGCCGGGGCCAGAGCCCCTGGGTGACCGTCGCTGTGTGTGTGCATGCGTGTGTGAAACTAACCGTGTCAGTGGGTGAGATGTTGCATTTTATAAAAATTAGAAATAAAAAGATCCATTCAAAAGATGCTGGTTGTGAGTGAGCAGTGCTCTCCCCGCGGGGGCCATGGCTGTGCTGCCCCCGCCCAGCAGACCGCCCTCCCCCACCACCCTCGCCCCCGCCTCCACACAGGCCTCCGACCCACCCCTGGAAGCCCTGGTGCCCCTTGCAGAATGCTCACAGCAAGCCAAGCCTATACTCACTGCTCCTCTAGCTGCTTCTACAGCCACACCGGGGGCACACGGGTGTGCAACACATGCACGCGCATGCACGCACACAGCCACATACATACATGCAGAGACACACATGCATGTGGGCATGCACACAGAGAGACACATGTGTGCATGCACACGCACAGGCACGGACACACAGGCAGGCACACACATGGACAGAGACATGGATGCATGTGACACAGACACATATGTGATGGACATGGGCACACACACACAAAAACATGGACACATGCACACGTGGACACACAGAGACACACACAGATACACAGGTACACGCACACTCACACATGCATGCACAGTCACAGGCACACATAGGCACGTGCACATGGGTGCTCACACAGACACACCTGCATGCTTATGGACAAGTCGTGGGCACGCAGACACATGCTGAGACATGCACACACAGACATATGGACACACACACACCGATATACTCGTGCTTGTGCACACTCACGAACCACGGCACATGCACAGGCTTGCACACACGGACACAGATGCCGACCCTCACCACTCGGTGCCTTTTGGCAGACGTGCCCGCCCCCTCCGGCGGTGTTACTCTGCACCACTCTGGCTGCTGGGCGTCACGCCCAAGCTCTGCTTGTCCTTCTGTCTCAGCTTGGGGGTGTGCCCACAGGCCGGCCCATCCTGGACTCCTGCCATGGCCACCATCCCCAGCCCCAGGGTAGCGGGCTCCGAGGCCCACCATGGCCCGGCCAGCTGCAGTTCCTCAGGATGGCGTGGGCCCATGCCCCGGAGGGGTGCCTCTCCCGGTCCAGGCCCTTGTGAGGGCGGCAGCGCCCCCATCCCCTCCCCCTGTGAAGAGGCAGTGAGAGGCTGTCCCAGAAGGGGCCTCCTTGGAGTAGGAAGCTGCAGGGGCCCTGTCTGCAAACACTGGCCTGGAAATGGTGGGCACAGAGCCGGGTGGGCAGGGAGGGAAGCGGGGGCCGAGCAGGTCTCCTGGGTCCAGCACACCACCGCCCCTCCAGGCCGCCTCCCGACCCTCCCGGGCTCCTGGCCCTTTAGGGGCCTGAGCCCCAGATGACCCCAGGGTCTCTCAGTGCGGGGGCTGCAGACCCCACAGAATGTCCTCCACCTGTCGTCCTAATGTCTCCCTCCCTGGGGGCTCAGGGTCTGTCTGGCCCCTTGGTCCCCCAGCCTTGAGTGCTGGTGGGGCAGACAAGCCAGCCAGCGCCCCACACGGCCTCCCCCGTGTGCCATTGGCCCCAAGAAGGAGAGGGAGGGAGGCTGGAAGGACAGGCCCCTCGGCACAGACAGCCATCTGCCCCCGGGGCTGGTCCTCACTGGCCGCGGGGCCCACCCCAAACCGCAGGGGACAGGAGGCCCACTCCCTGCCTCTCAGCCCCAAGTGGCCCTACGACCTCCAGGGGAGTCCAGGACACCGGGGGCCACTCCGCTGACCCTGGCACAGGCCGCACCCCGTGCATACTGTGCTGCTCGGTCGTGCTCTCTGCCACCCCAGGTCTCCTGGGACAAGGTGCTTGGGGTCGCCTCTCTGCTCAGCTTGGGCCACACCCTGCACCTGCCCGGCCCGGATCAGGTGGTCAGTGGCCTGCCGTGCCTGCCCGAGACCCCGCCTGGCAAGCCCGGGAGCTCCCAGCCCCACAGCAGGGCTGGCGCGGGAGTGCACGTGCCCTCCTGCCCACCCACCTGCTTCTGCCATGCCCCCAGCGCTCCCGGTGGCCGCATGGCCGAGGGGCAGACAGGGTGGGCCCTGCGGGCGCCACGGCCGAGCTGACCCACTGTGCCATGTCTCCTGCAGAGGGCGAAGTGAGCGCCGAGGAAGAAGGCTTCGAGAACCTCAACACCATGGCCTCCACCTTCATCGTCCTCTTCCTCCTGGGCCTCTTCTACAGCACCACGGTCACCCTGTTCAAGGTGGGCTGCCTGGCCGCGAAGAGCGGGTGGCACACGACCCCCGGGGACCCCCACCCCCACTCACGTGATCTCTGTCGCCTGCAGGTGAAGTGACGGCCAGCCAAGGACATGGGGGACCAGAGACGGAACGAGAGGGGAGCCGCCTTGGGGCCAGGGGGTCTGCGTGGCTTGTCCACTTGTACTGAAATCTTCCCCGTGTCCCTCTCCAGCTTCGAGCTCTAAGAAACCAGCTTCTCCCGACGTGGCCAAATGCCGTGGCCAAGCATGGAGCCCACAGCCGTGGGCTCTGCCCGGCCCTGCTTTGCAATGTCTCGCTTGTGGCCTTGAAATAAATATGTACATTTTATCTTGTGATACTGCTTCCTTGTGAAGGGTTTTTCTCAAGCCACTCTCCTGTGTGCTGTGTATCTCGAGAGCTGACCCCAATTCCAAAGGACTCTTTGGAAAGGGCCATCCGTCTCCTCCCAGGCCCATGGGGGACGTGCCAGGCTGGGTCTCAGGGCTGGTCCAGAGGAAGAAAAACAGCTGAGCTGGAGAGGACCCCCGGCCTGGTCTCCCAGCGCAGCCTGAGCTGGGGCTCCTGTGTGCGTCAGCGGGGACGCCGCTACGAGCCCCGCGTGAGGCCTTGTCACTCTGTCTCTGTTCCTAGCAAGCCCAGCCACAGGAGGGCTTGTCCGACCTTGGGAGTGCCTGGTGTGTGTGGGTGGGACTCAGGAGGGGCGCCCGGCACGTGTGCAGCCGCTGTGTGCCCTGCAGGAGCGCAGGCCCTCACCCACTGCCCAGCAGACAGTGACGGAGCTCGGAAGCGGGCGCAGAGGTCTCGGGTGAAACAGCCGGGAGAGACACAGAGGAAAGGCCCAGAAAGGGGGACAGCTGGCAGGAGGTAGGGGAGCCAGGGATTAGAGCTCGGAGACGGGAGCTGAGCCAGGCGATGCAGAGAAGTCCGGGCCAGCTGTGGCAGCAGGCAGTGGGATAGGAGAGGAGGCACAGGGACCAGAGGAGGTGGCCCAGGTGAGGGCAGTCTGGGAGCCATCTCCCCTGGGAGGCAATTTCAGGGTGCTGGGGGCCCACAGGGGTGGCAGGGGCTTGAAGAGGCGACTGCCTAAGAGAGCTGGCAGTGGACACGGGTCCCCAGAGAAACCCTTCCCCTGGCAGTGGGCTTCCGGTGCATATTTCTGATTAAACGGTGCCCTTTGCAGCCCACACTGTCAGGCTGTGGGACATTCAACGAGGGGTCCCACAGAGCACAGCCACCCCCAGTGGGGATGGGGGGGTTCTCATGCAGGCCACGGGGCTGACAACTCAGGACAGCACCTGTAGGAGTGTCTGAGGGCTGTCACAACAAAGAACCACAGGCCAGGCTTAAACAACAAGTTCATTCTCTCACGGCCTAGAGGCTGGAAGTAAGATCAAGGTGCCGGCACGGCTGGTCCTTCCGAGGCTGTGACAGGATCCGTTCAGTGCTCCTGGGGTTGCCAGCTCCTATTTCCTATTTGAACTATTTGGATCTATTTCAGTTTTAGCTTATCAACTGCTCGTTTATATTCATTTTCAAAGTAAATATTTAAGAAAGTAAATCGTCTTAGGTGCACTTTATCAGTGCATTCGTATAACGTTCTAATGGGGTGTTCCTTCAAGGTAATTAATCCCAAACCATCCTCCGGTGCCCCGAAGCTCTGTTTTCACTATGAGTGTGCCCACAATCCATAGCCGGTCGATTTTCTCTTCGTGACTAAGAAACACTCTGGTATTCTGATACGGTTGCCCTCCTCTCAGTATTTTTCAAGACCACTTTGCAGGTATCCAGCTCAGGACAGATTTTAGGTGAAATGTGTGCATTCGTCATGAATTATTTCAGTTAACCATGTTGGTTGGTGGATTGAGGAGACGCAGGCGGGTGTGAGTCTGGAAGGACTCAGGACGCTTTGGAAGGGCCGTCTCTGTTCTGAGTCATCGGTCCAGCCAGCATCTTAGTGGAAGGAGCTCCCGTGGAGGGTCCGAGAGCGGGTGCCTCCAGGCCCGCCGTGGCTGGGGGTCTCCTGGGACCGCCCGGAGCAGGGGATGGCAGTCCTGGCTTCTGCCACCGGCCAGTGGGCTAGTGGTGAATCAGCCGTTTTTAAGGGATTTGGAGGAATTCTTCCAGGCCAAAGACCCCCCGGGACTTGCCAGTGACCGGGAGCCTGGAAAGGTAAGAGGAAGGCTGCCAGCGCTGCCAGATTTGCGGCTCCGGGAAATCTGTATGAAACGTTTTTGTTTTCACTTGAAGGGGAATCAGTCTTTGACTATCGCCTGTGTGGGTCCAGGTGCTTCACACACCAGGGCACCCCTTAATGTGTCCTCGCTTAAGCGGGAAAGGCGGCTCTGGGTTTTAGATCGTTGCTGTGCACTGGAAAGCAGCCTCCGCTTTCTGCAGAGCTTTGGGATAAAGAGCACAACTGTGCGCGGCAATTCACATAAAATGCGTTTCCCGTCATCGTTAATGAGGATTTTTCCTGGAGGGGATTTTGTCAAGTCAGACTCATTTGAGACTCGGGGGTGAGAGGAATTGGGGCCACGGGCATGTGCCCGGGAAGGCCAAGGCGCCGAGGGAAGCGTCCCCGAGGCTCTCCTCTCCCCGGAGAAGCCACACTGCCCATTCTAGAGAGACTGGGACCGTCCTTCTGATGATGGCAAATGCGCCTAGGCTCTTGCAAGATGCTTTAGGGAATGTAAAGTCGCCAGCAAGCATTATCCCAGGTAGCCGAGGAAGGTGGTGGCTGACACTGCTGGGAGCC